CCATCCCCAGCCTCCACAACGCTTCCTCTTAAAAAGGAAAATAAAAACCTTCCCTGTCATTCTACCTTTGACCTCTTTCTCTCTCTCAAAATCTTCCACAAAAAAAGCATTAATATAAGTAAATAAAATAAAAGCTGAGTTTCTTTAAAGACTATTAGAAATAATCCCTTTGCTAAAATTCAGTTCTGTGATTAAGTACAGAAATGAAAGGACAGACAATGTGGGTCGTAAGTTTCTAATGTGGAATTCAAATGCTACTGCCAAAAGTGATATATTAGCTATGAACAGCATATGGGATCAACACATGCTAGATAATGGGTCATATTACTTATAAGAACAACTCATGAAATAAAGTAATTTCCTCACTGAGTACAAATTTGCTGCTTTTGCACTGTGCTGTGTCTTTCAGTCAAGCTGTCAGTCTTCTACTCAATAAACACAGTCCTGAAAGAAGTACTGCCAAGCAGCTTGAGAGAAGAATCTAACCTATTATAACCCTAAAAAAGAACATATTTATTCTCCGGAAGACAAAAATAAGTCACAAAATTAAATTAAGGCTAAGCAAAGGTAAAAAAATTTACCAACAATCCATACTATCAGAAAGAAGCAGATTCTGTAACATGACTGTGTTTAACAACAAAATTAAGAAAATGGTGTGTTTCTCAGGTAAAAAGAAAAATTACTGATAAGGAAAGGGATTCGGCTTTCAACTGTTAGAAATATTCAGACAACAAAGAAGAATCATTGTTAGGACATCTCACCTCTGAAAAGTTAAGGACGGACCAAGATACTGACAGAACATAATAGAGAAAATAAAATAAAATTAGAAGTTCTGCCCAGGAGGCTCAACATACATCTAAATAATAAAAGGTACAAGAAAAAAGAACACAGGAAACTGAGTAAGTGGGAGTGGAGACAGATCTAAGATGATGTAGGAGCTACAAGTATAAAGAGTCACAAGCCCAGATTCGAGTTCATCAGAATATACCATGGGAGAAACATGAAACGGACAGAAAGGCCAGGAGTGGTGGCTCATACCTATATTACCAGCACTTTGGGAGGCCAAGGCAGGAAGATCCCTTGAGACCAGCAGTTTAAGACATGCCTCAGCAACACAGTGAGACCGCTCCAAAAAAAAAAAAATGGGAAAAACAAAAACAAAAACAAAACAAAACAGGTATGGCGATGTGCAACTGTGTCCCAGCTACTTGGGAGGCTAAGGCAGGAGGATGGTTTGAGCTCAGGAGTTCAAGGCTGCAGTGAGCTGAGATCGTGCCACTGCACTCCAGTCTGGTTGCCAGAACATGACCCTGTCTCAAAAAAAGATAGAAAAGAAAAAAAGAAATTGATAGAAGATGGAATTGATAAATATCAGGTGTGCCTGAATGTGCTGAGGGGAGATTTAGACAATAAGGGAAGTGTTTGGGATGAAAAATACGGCAATATATACATAGAAACAGTCACTTTCTCCTCAATGCTCCCATACAGTATTATACAGACCTTTATTCTAACACTTAAAATTACATTGTAATTACTGATTTACATATCTGTCTCTCTTCATATGTAGTAATTTACTCAGGAAAAAACAAGATGTATGCAAGAAAGGAAAATGACTGTTGTATAGTAAACTGCTTAAGTGGGTACAGTTCTTAGGTTGTCATAATAATGTAAGCATTGAATAAAGTTCTAAACAAAATTATTACATAACTCTTTAGGAAGAATGAGGGATAGAAGTGTGCACGTGTAATGAGGCAAGAGGTGGTAAAGAGCTAAACATTAATTGTCCATGTAGAAATCAACAGATTATTCCTAACACTAAAAATAAATCAAGAAATATCAATGAAAGTATATTGTTTAGTGACATAGAAGTAAATACCAAAAGAAAGACCTAAAGGTTGAAAGCAGTAGCCCCTGGGAAGTAAAATGTGGGAAATGGGAGACTATCAACCAATCAACCTATGACAGAGGATGGTATTTTTCATAAAATACTTTGAAAAACTATCTGGCTCAAGTTCCATGCATGTTTAACAGTGGTAAAAATTCAAATGAAAATTTTTAAAAAGCAAATGAAGGAGAGAAGGCATTGCTATGATCTCTCTCCACTTTCTCCCAGTGACCTCTGGAAATAGAGCTGAGCCTAGTTTGTATTCATGAGGGAGACATAAATCCATAGTGATGAAGGCAGAAAACTTTGAGAAGAAAGTACTATTAACCACTCTGAGTCAAACCCTGAACATGATGCTCAGGGCCACCCAGTTCCTGAAAGTATTTTCATTTGTAAAACTGCCTGTGACCATTAGAGAACTTGGGTACTTTTCATAGAAAAGGGTTGTCATTTCCTGGACATTTGGAGACAAGTACAATGCTTCTGATGTCCTAAGAGAAACTGCCAGGCAGGCATGCTGTGAGCTATTGCAAAATTGCTTTGATTCATCCCTCTGAAAATATTAACTGTTCCATGACCCGTGATTCACATGCAAATAATGTGCCAAAGCTGACTGCTGTAAACCAAAGTTATGATATGCGAAGGATCTCTAACTTGCCTCCCTAAACACTCAGCCAACCATTTGCCAGTCTAGAAGAATTTGATAATGTATACCTCTGAAGTAAAAGCAGCTATGTAATCAAGTGAATTTTTAGTGACTTGTACAGAGATAGGGAGGAATTTAACATTTCCCCTCCTGGAAAAAATTCCAAGAAATTTTTAAATAAATTTATTCTTAAAATACACACAATAATAAATACACTTAATTATCTTTTACGGGATTTAAATGTTTTAAATAGGGCAGTAAACCCTTTGAGTGGTAAGACAGCTTCAATTAAACAGAGACAGATTAAGTGATGAGGAGTTCCTCTGTATGCCAATCTCTAATTCTGTTAAAATATCCGTGGAAATGTAGCAAGATAGAAAATAACATATTTGTCAAACTTCATTCTATATAGTATGCAGCTGAAAGAAATCTTTTCCTTCAAACCTTTTGTTTTGAAAATTTTTTTAACTCATAGAAAATATCAAAAATAGACTATAAATACCCATATATCATTCACCTAGATATTGCTAACTGTTAAGATTTTACCACATTTGTGTTCTCACTCTGACTCGATATTTCTCTCTCTTTCTCTGTGGTATGTCTACTTGTACACACACATACATGTCTTTTTTCTGAAATATTTGGAAGTTGTATACTTTTTTTTTTTTTTACTTTATCTCTTAAGTATCTCAACATGCATATCATAAGAATAGGAATAGTCTCCTTCATAACCACGATATCACTATCATACTTAAGGAAATTAGTAATTCAATATCATATAATATAGTCCATATTTAAACTTTTCTAATTTTTTTATAGCCGTTTTTATTTTGTTTTCTCCTCCAGGACCCAGTCAAGTCTCACCATTGCATGTGGTTGTTACATCTCCATAAGAAATGTTTAAATAAGCTACAATGGGTAATGTGATATCAGATGGCATACTCCAACAATACTGATGACCTCCCTGGAGGATAAGCCCAGTTAATTGTGGGCCCAGCTTTAGTTTTGTTGAGAGAATACAAAATATGAGGTCAAAACTGAACTGATAGGGCAACAGAGGAAAGATTACCTTCTTAACACCAATGTTCTTATAAAACATTTAAATGCTTATTTAAAAGTAAGGCTGAAAAGTAAAACCACAATGAGATACCACCTTACTCCTGCAAGAATGGCCACAATTAAAAAGTCAAAAAATAATAGATGTTGGCATGCATGTGGTGAAAAAGTAACACTTTTACACTGCTAGTGGGAATGTAAATTAGTACAACCACTATGGAAAACAGTATGGAGAGTCCTTAAAGAACTGAAAGTAGACTACTATTTGATCCAGCAATCCCACTACTGGATATCTACCCCCCAAAAAAGATGTCATTTTATGAAAAAGATACATGCACATGCACGTTTATAGCAACAGAATTTGCAATTGCAAAGATATGAAACCAACCTAAGTGCCTATCAATCAATGAGTGGATAAAGGAAATGTGAGAGATACACACACACACACACACACACACCATGGAATACTACTCAGCCATAAAAAGGAATGAAATAATATCTTTTGCAGGAACTTGGATGGAGCTGGAGGTCATTATTCTAAGTGAAGTAACTCAGGAATGGAAAACCAAATTTCGCACGTCATCACTTACAAGTGGGAGCTAAGCTATGAGGACACAAAGGCATAAAAACGATATAATGGACTTTTGGAACTCAGGGGCAGGGAAGCTTGGAGGGGGGCGGTAAGGGATAAAAGACTACATATTGGGTACACTGCTCAGGTGACAGGTATACCAAAATCTCAGAAATTACCACTAAAGAACTTATCCATGTACCACAAATCATCTATGCCCCAAAAACTATGGAAATAAAAAAATTTTTTTTTTTTAATCACTGTCGGCTGGGCACGGTGGCTCACGCCTGTAATCCCTGCACTTTGGGAGGCCGAGGCAGGTGGATCACAAAGTCAGGGGATAGAGACCATCATGGTTAACACGGTGAAACCCCATCTCTACTAAAAAATACAAAAAATTAGCCAGGCATGGTGCAGGCACTCGTGGTCCTGGCTACTCGGGAGGCTGAGGCAGAAGAATGGCATGGACCTGGGAAGCAGAGCTTGCAGTAAGCTGAGATTGCGCCACTGCACTCCAGCCCTGGGCGACAGAGTGAGACTCTGTCTCAAAAATAAATAAATAAAATAAATAAATAAATTACTGTCATATTAACAACAAAAAAGCAAATAAAACAGCTGACTAGGTTTAAAAAAAAAGAAAAAGGAAGGCTGAGAGTTCAGAGTACACCTCGGAGAGTAACCTCAAATTTTAAGAAATGCCAAAGTAGAGGCATATCCAGGACACCAAATTATTAAACTGTTCAAAGTTACCTTGGCATTAGTCTAGGTTTGGAAAAATCATAAAACGTATTATTTTTCACTTAAGAATAAACTAACAATAGGAGTAATGGACCCCAAATTACCTCTTCTGTAGCTGTTCATCAGACAGTTGCAGCTCCTCTTTTAAACGCATATACCTGTCTTCTCTCAGCAGCCTAGAACCATCATAGAGGCTTAGCTCTCGATCATGGATTAATCTAACAAGATAAGAAAAAAGTCTGAAAATAAATTAATCTGTTTTGAACACTGAAGTTTTTAGAGGCAGAATCAGTCAGCCAACACTCTATTATTGCTGGCAATTGAGTCTAATAATTTTGTTAGATGGACCTTTCAAAATTTCAAATTGGCTAGTGCTGTTACACTTGGCAAAACCGTTGGTTTCTGTATCAGAGGGCAGCAGTCATAAATACCTGATAGGGATATGAAAGAGGGGGAGGAGGAAAAAAAGAAAGTAGGAGGAGGGAGAGCAAAAGAAACAGCTGAATGAGTGTCTCAAGATAACCACAAGGCACATATTAATAAACAAGGCAGGTGGCACTTACTCCCTTCAGTCTAAAGTAATTCTGTAAGGGTTGGCACAAAAATATTTCTATCTTTGGAATTACAATATTTAAAAATACCAAAAATCTTTATAATGAAATAACTACATTGCTTTGCATATGGCAACTCTGATGGTGACCTAAACATCCACATCACACACAGCACAGACTTCCAAATGTTGCAATGGCTGAAAAGCACTGTTCTATATCTCACACCAACCCCTAAGTCTCCTATTGTCCACAATAGAGTTAGCCTACATAGCCTCCATTCTATAAGCACTGAAGGGAGGGGAGGCTGTATAAATGCAGCGGGTAGGAGCGTGAGCGGTGGAACCAATCAGACCCGGGTTCAACTCCAGCTGTGCACCTTACTAGCTGAATGAGTGGGGAGAGGGAGAACGACTCTGTCTCTCTAAACTCATCTTCAATAACGTTAAGGTTGTCACAACTTCACAATATTAATATGAAAACTAAACAGCTAATGTAAAATGGATGCTTAATATAGTTGTTCTCAATCTTGACTGTACATTAGAATCTTCTGGGAAGTGTTTAAAAATACCAATGTTCAGACCTTGGCCTAGACCAATTACATCAGAAAATTCTGATGGCGAAGCCCAGGCATGAGGTTTTTTTTTTTTTTTTTTTTTTTTTTTGAGACAGAGTCTCACTCTTGTCACCCAGGCTGGAGTGCAGTGGTGCGATCTAGGCTCACTGCAACCTCCACCTCCTGGGTTCAAGCTATTCTCCTGTCTTAGCCTCCTGAGTAGCTGGGATTACAGGCACACACCACCATGCCCAGATAATTTTTGTACTTTATTTTAATAGAGACGATGTTTTGCTATGTTGGCCAGGCTGGTCTCGAACTTCTGACCTCGGGTGATCCGCCCACCTTGACCTCCCAAAGTTCTGGATTACAGGTATGAGCTACTGCGCCGTGCCATCAGCCTTTTTTTTTTTGAGACAAGTCTTGCTCTGTCTGCCAGTCTGGAGTGCAGTGGTGGGATGCCAGCTCACTGTAACCTCCACCTCCCGGGTTCAAGCAATTCTTCTGCCTCAAGCCTCCTGAGTAGCTGGGACTACAGGCACGTGCCACTACGCCCAGCTAATTCCCAGCTAATTTTTGTATTTTTAGTAGAGAAAAAGTTTCACTATCTTGGCCAGCATGGTCTCAATCTCTTGACCTTGTGATCTGCCCACCTTGGCCTCCCAAAGCACTGGGATTATAGGTGTGAGCGACTGCACCTGGCTGGCATCAGTATTTTTTAATTCCCATCCTGCAAGGTGATTCCAAGGTTGAGAACCTGAGCAGCACTGGCTTAGCACAATGCCCAGCACAGAGTAGGTACTCAATAAATGGTAGTAGCTGCTTCTATTATTACTACTTGCAAACATGCAAAAGATAGCTAATAAAATGGGACTATTATCATGTCTGTAGTTGTCTGTTTGGGAGAAAAAAATATTGTAAATCTATGGAACGTTTATGGTAAATCACTGAAAGTTTGTGACTATTTTTAAATGTTCTAAAATCTAATCAGGATTAACATAATGTATTTAGAATTTTTAATTACATTCAGTATCTGCATCACGTTAAGAAAAAAAAAACTCTGAGTGGTTAGTTGGGACAATGGCTTATTCTACTTATTTAACCTTTCCTAATGAGTCAAAGTTAAAAATCAAATGTCTACAAGTTAGAGAACCAAAATAAATTTTAAAAAATCAGTATCATTAATTTCCTAAAATGATACAGGATGGGAATATTTTCTACAAAAGTTACACATGAAGAGGCTTCTCTTAACATTAAATTCTAGAGAAGTTTTAAGAATGTGTGGAAATTTTTCCCAACTAAACCCAAAATAAGAAAACAACAGTTACAGAAATGTTCAAGTTTACAACCAACAAAGTGAGCTTTTTTAGTCTACATAAAACATAATTTAAAGGTATTATATATTTTATATACAAAACTAATTTTCTCCCTCTCTCAAAAAAGATTTCAACAAGACCAACCAATAATTAAGATCTATGATTCATAAGGAGTTTGTAAATACTGAAGCTGTGACTCTGACAAATTACAGAAACTTCAGCAATGTGACATGCTGCATATATACACCTGTATATATAAAGTCTTTCAAACTTACTACTGAAGCACTTTCTTTTTGCAGCACCTACACACGGAATTTTGCTATGGCAGTGGTTTTTCCCAAAATGTTCATTATTTGGAGTTTTACTGCATTGTGTTCATAACAATAAAAAAGTGCCATTCTACTTGGTATATAATCATGATTTTTCAGGATCTACACAACCCAGTTTAAAAAAAAAAGAGAAAGAATGAGATAGTTCCATCTTTACTGCTTAAGTCAGAGTAGTTGGGGTGTGTGTGTGTGTGTGTGTGTGTGTGCACGTTTGGGGGATTTTTGTGACACCTACCCACCTTTGCAATACAGCAAGTGTGCCCGCATTCACCCGGTGAATGCCATCCAACAGGACCAGCTTGCCTTCCAGAGCAGCATTCACAAGGGGTGAGGACCGCCAGGCAGTGTCTCCATTTGGAAGGGTGTATCTCTGTTGTAGCAGATCACGTGCTGTCATATCCTAAAACAAATCCCCACCACCCACCAAAGAACACGACAAATTAATTTTTAAGACATGCAACACAGTTCACATGGCTTTATAGAGTCACCACTGTCTGAACTTTTAACATTCCATATAACAACAGAGAAGTCATCTTCTCCAATCCCCAAAAAAAAAAGCTCTTCAGAAAGTCTTTTTTTGGTCATTTTAAGAATTTTTTCCATTACTCATTACATAATATAGTGAGAGTGAGAGGTTTTTTCCCCTTCTTTATATTTAGCATTTTCTTCCGCTTTTAAAATGTAAGTTTACATAATGGCAGTAATTTCTACCTGAAGAACAGAATTTAACTCAATCAGCTCTATTCCTGTGTTTTCGTATGCCAACTCTTATGGTGACCTAACCATCCATGTGTTGACTCAATTTTAAAATGAAGAATCTTGTAGTATAGTTTGAAGTCAGATAGCGTGATGCCTCCAGCTTTGTTCTTTTGACTTAGGATTGTCTTGGCAACATAGACTCTTTTTTGGTTCCATATGAACTTTAAAGCAGTTTTTTCCAATTCTGTGAAGAAACTCATTGGTAGCTTGATGGGGATGGCATTGAATCTATAAATTACCTTGGGCAGTATGGCCATTTTCACAATATTGATTCTTCCTATCCATGAGCATGGTATGTTCTTCCATTTGTTTGTGTCCTCTTTTATTTCACTGAGCAGTGGTTTGTAGTTCTCCTTGAAGAGGTCCTTTACATCCATTGTAAGTTGGATTCCTAGGTATTTTATTCTCTTTGAGGCAATTGTGAATGGAAGTTCATTCATGATTTGGCTCTCTGTCTGTTACTGGTATATAAGAATGCTTGTGATTTTTGCACATTAATTTTGTATCCTGGGAACTAGAAGTACCATATGACCCAGCCATCCCATCACCGGGTATATACCCAAAGGATTATAAATCATGCTGATACAAAGACACATGCACACGTATGTTCACTGCGGCACTATTCACAATAGCAAAGACTTGGAATCACACCAAATGTACATCAGTGACAGACTGGATTAAGAAAACGTGGCACATATACACCATGGAATACTATGCAGCCATAAAAAAGGATGAGTTTGTGTCCTTTGTAGGGACATGGATGCATCTGGAAACCATCATTCTCAGTAAACTATCACAAGAACAGAAAACCAAACACCGCATGTTCTCACTCATAGGTGGGAACTGAACAATGAGATCACTTGGACTCGGGAAGGGGAACATCACACACCGGGGCCTATTATGGGGAGGGGGGAGGGGGGAGGGATTGCATTGGGAGTTATACCTGATGTAAATGACGAGTTGATGGGTGCTGATGAGTTGACGGGTGCAGCACACCAACATGACACAAGTATACATATGCAACAAACCTGCACGTTATGCACATGTACCCTAGAACTTAAAGTACAATAATAAAAAATAAAATAAAATAAAATGAAGAATCATGCAAACTCAACATGCAGAGATGTTTATCAATAATGTGCATTTTCTTGCAGTTGATGAGTTTCCCTGAAAAGCTATGCTAGGACCATCACAGGGACTCATTTTATTTAAAGAGACTTCATAATGGAGGAAATTGAGGACAGTCATCAGATGAGGTACAGGAATTGGGAAACAATAGCATACCACTTACAAGCAATTTTTAAAAGCACACACACAATGTGCTAACAATAAAATAGTGTAACAGACTTAAGCAAACTATTAATAGTTGTGGCATATAAAAGTTTATCTACTGTAAAAAAAACTGGAGCTATATAATATGAACAATTTTTTCTTACATGCATTAATGTGGATAGTTTCTTTTCTATCACCTTCAGATACATTTTGTGTGACTTACAGTAAACAAAAGTTAAACACATTTACAATCACTTTTATCCAAATATTTAAAGTCTTCTGTAAATTCTTGGCTACATACTCCCAACTTTCAGCAGAAGAAAACTAATTAATTTGCTTTATATTCATAATGGCAATGAATCTGTATTGAAACCAAGATTAAAATTTAAGTCTTAATTATTTCAATCTTCTCACTATCAAGAAAGTACTGACTAAATGGCTATTATTAAAAATTCAAAAAACAACAGATGCTGTTGAGGTTCTGTAGAAAAAGGAACATTTTTACACTGTTTGTGGGACTGTAAATTAGTTCAACCATTGTGAAAGACAGTGTGGCAATTCCTCAAAGACCTAGAGGCAGAAATACCATTCAACCCAGCAATCCCATTACTGAGTATATATCCAAAGGGATATAAATCATTCTATTATAAAGACACAAGCATGCATATGTTCATTGCAACACTATTCGCAAGAGCAAAGACATGGAATCAACCTAAATGCCCATCAATGATAGACTGGATAAAGAAAATGTGGTAAATACACACCATGGAATACTATGCAGCCATAAAAAGGAACTAGATCATGTCCTTTACAGGGACATGGATGGAGCTGGAGGCCATTATTCTTAGCAAACTAACGCAGGAACAGAAAACCAAATACCACATGTTCTCACTTATAAGTGGAAGCTGAATGATGAGAACACATGGACACATGGTGGGGAACAACACACACTGGAGCCTGTCAGAGGGTGAGTGGAGGGAGGAGGGAAAGCATCAGGAAGAATAGCTAATGGATGGTGGGCTTAATACCTAGGTGATGGGATGATCTGTGCAGCAAACCACCACGGCACACGTTTACCTGTGTAACAAACCTGCACATCCTGCACATGTACCCCTGAACTTAAAAGTTGGAAATTTTAAAAAAAGAAAGTACTGACTTAGGAAATATGAATAGGCTCATTTTGAATCATAAAGACCTTCAAAAAACAGTAACATTCAAACTCAGCAAGTTCCCATAAACTTAAAAGGCTGGTTTTGACGCATTGTTGAAATTTGTCCTTTTTAAATAATTTTATTTAATTCTTCAATTATGAATTCTAAATTCTATGCAAACTATATGAGCAATATCACTCTCTTGCTGCCAATGACAGTTACAACAACCAAGACTAAATTGATCACCATCATCCGTGTTTACTGAGCCAGTCACGACATTCCTCATCTTTTCCTGGGCCCAAGCAAAAGATTCATTCCCACTCATGTTTATGCTACAGAAAACCAAAGGGATCACTCTCAAGGAGAACAGGACAAAATCAAAATAAGTGTCTGTGGGTCATTTTTATAGTCAAACTATGACAAAAATCCAATATTATATATGTATATACATATGCATATAAATATATATGTGTGTATATATATTTATGTATACAAATATATACACACACAGAATTTTTTTAAGTAAATATAAAAACAGATAAATTTAAAGAAAACTCTTGGTATGAATTATTCCAGAAAAATATTTGCCATAGAGTCACATCACACATTACCTTGGAAAAGTAAACAAAGAAACAGAAAACACAGTTTAGCCCTGTGGTTCAAAATTAAAGATACATTATCAGAAACAGCTGGGGAACTTCTGAAACATATATAAACTTAAGCTCCACCACCGTGAAGATTCTGATTCATCAGGGCCAACATGGGGCCTACCATCTGTTTTTTATTAAACATTACATAGATGATTCTGATACGCCTCCCAGGTGGGAAACACTGCTTTAAAAGACATTAAATTAAAATTCACTTATTTATACACTTCCTTGTTCTAATATGATGTGAGACTGCAAAAAGATATACAAAATGCACAACAAAATAACATAAATTAAAAGTAAAGTTAAAAAATAAGGGAAAAAAGTAGGCTTTGTCTATTTTAAGGATTCCTATTGGAATTTAGCAAGGAGAGATGAAGGCATTCAATTAATATCACATTTTCAAAGAAACTAATGGATGTTAATTTTGAAAATCACAGCTTCAGACTGAAAACAGCTGATATCCTGGCCCAATAAAGGTCAGGAGTCTTTCGCTTGGGTCCAGCATAAGATGAGGAATGTTGTGACTTTAGCAGATATAAGAGGCTCAGACTCCTAAAGAGCTGAGGCTAAAAACTGGTAACATTTTTTTTTTAATTTCAATAGAAAGAATTCCTCATTCTCATACCAACATATCTGAATCACCATTCTGTGCATGATATTAAAAAGCACTATTTCATTTGGTCATGATTCCAAAGTATTTTTATATATTATTAATTCACAGGATGTATACAGTACTTACTTTATTCAAGTAAGTAAACATTTACTAATAGAGATGATGAGAAAGACAACTAGTACATAGGGCTCTTCTTTTCCAGTCTAGTAGTTGGAGACTCCCTTACATTTGCTAAAGTAAAATGAATGATTATTTGTTGCCATACAGTATGCAGCAGGAGATCAATATAGCTCAGTGCTATAAATGCCAACCAAAGCTATAGACCAGAAATGTTCTTCCTCTTTTCAATCTTCAGAGGGATAGAACATGGGAAATACTTGATATTTCTTAGACTAGCTCAGTTAAATTTTATCACCTAAACTCCGTATACCATCACATTAGAAAGAGCCATTCTTCATTTCTAATAAACACATACATGCAGATAGACAGATGATTGATAGATAGATAGATAGATAGATAGATAGACAGACAGACAGAGAGAGAGAGATTTTTAAAAAGTATTTTGTAGAGACAAGTTCTCACTCTGTTATCCAGGGTGGTCTTGAACTCCTGGCCTCCAGCAATCCTCACAATTCAGCCTCCCAAAGTGGCAAGATTACAGGCATGAGCCACTGCCAATTTCTAATAAACCTTTGCATCAAAATAAAAACCTTCCTAAGAGAAAGAAAAGCACTCCCTTTAATATAAGCTATTGGTTTTCATAATTAAGAACGTCTATTGAAAGACAAACATTTCAGCTTTTCCTTAAAGAGATAGTTGGCCCTACTTTCCCCAATATTAGTTGTTATCAGAAGCTATTTTCAATTGTGTGAAAGTGCAAGGACACCAAAGTAAAACTAAACTTTCACAGAACAACTGAATCTAATCAAATCTAATTAATAAAACTTTTTCAGCA